AATTAAAAGTATACCTATTGCCGCTGAGTTGAATCTATACATATTTGGCTATATTTAGGGTAACTCAATAAGTATTTAATCCTATAAAAATCTTCTTTCCAAAAGTATTCAATACGACATCTGTTGAGCGGTTCTCTTTAGTAACCTTCATGACAAGTTGACGAGTTCACACTTAACAAAAACATAATGCCAGAGATGACAAAGATTATTTTATATTCCCTTCAACTAAAATTGATTTGAATGTCTATACTTCAGTTCCTATATGCTCAAATTAAATGTTTCACGAATCTGAAATAAATAAAATATTGAACATATTAAAGGTAGGTTAAACAGGAGATTATTAAGCAGGTATTCATTTAAGCATTTATTTCAATTTCTCTCAAACCTACTCTCCCGACTTCATATTTTGTCTACTTACACAGGCAAAAGAGGCTCGAACAAATTTTCACTTCAAGTTCGTATAAAATTCATGTGAAATATTTTGCATGAGAAGGACAAAAAACAAGACACATGAAATTTATGCAAAAAAAAAAATCATACGATTATGACACGATTTTCGTTTGAATGTTATATGAAGAGCATTATGTTGTATAAATGTCGTACAAACAAAAATTCACAAAAAGTTTTTTTTTTTTTTTTTTTTTTTTTTTGTTAAATATGCGAATATCGTAGAATCCAATTCACATTCGCATGAAAATTTTTACATGCTTTTCGCATAATTTTCAAATAAAAAGAAATTCACGTTGATCATAATTATAGAATAAAGAAAATGAAATCAGACTTCAAATATGTGGGTCAGGAAATCAAAGTCAATGTTCCCCCCAAAAAATTCATATTTCATTTTAAAAATTCACAAAATATTTTAAAACCAGATCGAACAAGAAGGAAAACGTATTGTTATTACAATCATTAAATAATACAATCATCAAACAAATGAACAACCTGAATTAATGATATAAACATGCTTACTCCTCCAAGGTACCTAATCCCACATCTAATGTTTTGGAGGCTCCTATTGTGTATTGTTTTGTGGACTTTTCAGCTTGGATACTGTTTGTTATCTCCATATACAGCTGTATTTCATGATAAAAACAGACAACGTTCATTTTTTGGAGTGTTTAATACTGCTTAATGGTGTATGTATTCTAACATGGATTGTTATAACAGCATGGCAGGTCATCATGTCGATGTTTTCACTTTTAAGGGAGGGGAGATTAAAAAGATTGTAACGCTTTAGTGTAGGATTTATCGTGCTACTGATACGATAAGAAACGCCAGCAATTTAGTTTCGATTTTCCTTCTATACAGATAAGAATATGCAGAAGGTGTTATTCTGGTATGTAAAATCGGAATATGATCCGAACTAATTCCTTTACTTTAAGATACTGAGAATGTATGGACATTACATAAAAACATATTGATACAAAGCCGTCGAAATTCACATGTATTTCTTCCTTTTTGATCCATTGCAAGTTTCAGATGAACATATGATTTCAAAATGTTCATTAATATTTCGTAATTATTTGAGAATTTAATATTATTATTTTATACGTAAAAATAAATAAAGATGGTAAAAATAACGAACAGTGATTGATCTAAAAAAAAATCAGCAAATAATATAAATCTGTAAAGAGGGCATAAATCATAGACCCCTGGAAATTTCAAGGTTGGAATCAGTTGCCTAGGAAGGGTAAGTATACCATGTCGTGAGCCACATCTTATAATAAGATAAAGAAACATCCACATTGAAATTTATAGTACAAAATCAAATGCTTAACAATGAGTATAAATGTGTCGGCAAAATACAACTTATGATTCGTGTTTTTCTTACCAAGGTAATTTTAAAGAATTTTTAGAATTTTTATAAAGAATTTTCGAAATTAACTTTTAATTTGATTGCTTGAGGTTTTGTAATTTTAAAACTTACATGTCAGTGGCCCCTTTGATTTAAAAATTGAACGCATCCAGAACATGCTTTTGATTATATCAAATTAGTTGGGAGACATAAACAAACATTTATGCAGGTGTAAGCGGAATATATTACTGCATCAATCAGAAAATTTAATTTGACGATGGAAAGGCCAGAATCACCTTCTTTATCATACAAGTGATTTGTTAGTTGACCCTCATCGTCTACAAATACTTTACGACCAAATTTGATTTGTCAGTTTCTGTGTTGTCTTTATTTCAAGTTTATGGCATATATTGAGTCATATATGAAATATGATAAAACATACATGTATTCGATTCATCTGAACGTTGTTTAAGGCAACAGAGAAAATTTTTCTGAAAGTTTTTGAATAAAGGAGTTAAATGAGAGGTGGTTGGCTGATAAATTGATATCTATCGTTATAACAGTTTGTCATAGGACCTAGATGTTGTCACTGAAGATTCCAATATACTTTCAATATAAAATTCAAGGATATGTCGATGATCAATCTGTCTGTCTGTGGCAAACGTTGTCAGTAAACTTTTCACATTTTCGGCATCTCCAGATAAATTGGGCTAATTTCAACTCACTACAAAGTGTAATCCTTTGATAATTGTGGATGTTAGTTTGTTCACATAAAAAAATTTATTTATTCTGATAGTTTACCAGAAAATAAGTTTCTGATGTAATGACTATTTTTTAAATTTGATCATTTTTGTATTTCTTTATATGGAGCTCTTCTTCTTAAGGAGATGGCTATAAAATGTCGTATCAATGAAAGTTAGCAAGGAAAGTTATCATGTTACCAGATACATGAAAGGTCCCTGTATTTACAAGTTTTAGAATAATGAAACACAACATAACCCCGGGGTTACTGTCATTACTAAATGTTTCTAAAATTCCGCATCAATACTGCACTTAAAACATACCTGATAAGAAATCAGTTCGAAATAGGTAACACCTTGAATACAAGGTCGTTCGATTTCTGTCAGTTTTACGATGCCAGCTGTCAGTATTGTAAAATAAAAAGGTTGGACAAAGTTTTCCAGTTACTTAATATTTAATGTTTACTTAATATGAATATTGACATAGAAATATCAAAAATACTTTTTTTTGACATACATTCATTACAATAAATTAAATAAAATTTCAAAATGAAACGTGTTTATCAGCCTAAAATTATTCATCATAAATTTGATAGGAAATTTACTTATTTGCCACTTCATTCCTTTAATTTTCGAAAATTCTATTAATAAAAATGCGTATTACTCATCGAGACTTGTTTAACATTCTTCATCGAAAAGACAAAACAATCTTTGAAGAAAGATATGTACTGTAGCTTTAGTTATGTTTATTTTATGACATTTTTCGTGTTAAACAATATGAAATTCATAGCAGCTAAAACTGTTGCACGAAGCCCCTCTTCAAACCTGCCTTTTTCTCGGTCGTAAAGATGTCATAATTAAAGGAACCAAAATACAGGCACCTGTTAACACTAGAACTGGCTTTGTTCATGTGGAGATTTTTGTAGACTTAAAAACTAGGTGAAATTCTTCCCTAATGAAAAAGTATTTCGTTTTATGGTTGTATTTTTTTTTAATTTCTTAACGGTGTTAATCGAATAATGTTACCTAATTAAAATCAGACTTGTTAGATCCGCGCCGTGTGTAAATTTTGCTGAAAAAGGCATAGGGCGCGGATCTAAGAAGGATAAATGCAGCCCGGAGGACCGGGCTGCTCTATACATATAAGTTTAAGTGTTGGTGCATGGGGATTGGGGTGGGAGTAGTTATGTAGAATTAAAGATTTTCTAAACATTGAAAAGATTGTTAATCAGAATGTTCTTTCCGTTTATAAATTACGAGATACATAATATATTTACTAGTACTTCCATGAAGTGAATCTGTAAAAATATATATGTTTTTCATGTTTAATATATAAAGTTACTTATCATTTACTATCGAAACAACGACAGGTCCCTTTTTTTAGAACATCGAATTTTACTTCTCGGATAAAAATGTACTCTGCTCTGTTCGTGTTTTATATTCTAAAATTGATAATTAATACATTTTTGAATATAAATGATGCATGCGTGTGTCTAACTTCAATTTATATTTTATGCAGCCAACATTTACTTGAGGAATTGATCAAGTTTAACATTGTATCGTTTTTGATTGATTTTTATCCGACTACAAGCTTTTAAAAATATATGCGACTATCGTCTCCATCAATTAAACGCATGCCTTTTTACACATATCGAAGCGGTTTGTTGATCAAGACTCATTTTCATTGTTTACTTTATATATTTTCCGGGCGACAATTGATGTTTACATCAATGTTTTCTTGTTTTAATTTGTTTAATCTTATTTCAAATTTACCGTACAGATATTAAGCGAAGATATAACAGGAGTCGGCGGCAATTTGGAAAACTTACGTAAATCCGTCTCCTGATAATTAATTGAAGTAATGTTCAGATCCTTATTGGGCAGTAATGAATAATGCAGTTGAAATGACGATAATACCTCTAAATCATGATTCATAACAATGGATATTTTTAAATTTTAATGATTTACAAGTATAATTCCTATTTCATTTGTAAAGATAAAAAAATATCACAATTTTAGGACCAAGGGAAAATACAATTTATAATAATTATAAATTGTTCATATTTCATAAGAAATTATGTACTGACAAATTGATACAATTATGATAGACAATGAACACTAAGGGGCGATAAATTATTAAGAAGAATTATCATATATGTGTTTATTACGCAAATGAAGATTTGCTCAAGAATTCATTCACTCTTAAAGTTACTAGACAAAAATTAGCATTGTTATGGTAAGTACATGGGATGGAATCGTCGTATTTTGGATAATATATCATAAAAACGCAGTAAAAGACTTTAATAGTGCATAAAATGATCTGGAAGGATCAATGCTTTAATAATCCATTTCCCTAAGCAGGGGCTGTGTCTTGGTTTTGTTTTCACTATATTAAAGCCGTTATCACGTAAAGCGAGAAGGTGGGATTAGTTTAACGCCTAATAAGATTCAGTCGGCCTACAATTAGTCTTAAACGAATAATTTCTGATGAAAACTCGATGATAAGGTGATTGGGAAATGATTATTTTCTGCAAAGTAAACAAATATTTGGATGTGATTGTTTATTTAAGCAGTGCCAGAAAAAGTTTAAATATAGATCTGAAATTCTGAGGAAGGGGAAATGCATTAAGGTGGAAGGCGTATAGGAGAGAAAATGGCATTAGAAATATAAAATGGTGCGATTTTTTGTGTATTTACTGACTTTCTGGATTTTCTTACAAATATCAGGTAATTATTATAACATATATTGTTTAAGAATTAATTTTTCTGTAGTCCTGAAACCTAATATTAGTTTTATTTTTTGTATTAAACTATTTGAAACCACCTTAATATTTTGGGATCATATGAATAAGTTAGTTTCGTTGACCTTTTACATTATATAGTATGTCATTTGGTAAATAAAATATTCGACCTATTCTTTCAGTGTATACTATTGACAAAACAATTCATTACATATTTCTTAATACTAACCAGATTAAAAATTCAAAATGTGCATGTTAATCTGATTAATTTGACATACAATTAATGTACTTTATATGTACATGCATTGCTTTTTCGACCTCTTAAATGGTGATGAATGCAACTCACTATAAAATTTAATTCTTGTTTTCGTTAATATCCCTTAGACCCATTGTCTAAAAATGCACTTTTCTGACACATTATTAGTATCTTCCAAAGCAAGTAATGTTAACGTGCATCTCTTCTCTCCTATATATACTTCTTTAATCAGTCAACTCTAATAGCAAATTGTTTGCTTTATGTTGAACTCAATGCACTGGTATGCAATTTATTTTTCAATAAGAAGTTTGCATCAAAATCAAGATCTTATACGTATTGATTCCTTAGAATTCCGATTTTTGCCCTTTTGTTCCTTGGTTTATGAAAAAGAGTTCCGAAAGTATGGAGAAGTCAATTTAAAAAAAAAAACCACCACGTGTATAATAATCTGTTATGATACTTGATTATTACCTCTCAGACAATCGATCCTTTTTTAATCTACAAGTCAGACGAATGTTGAGGGTTTCGATTTTGGATTTGCCTTTCTTTTGACTGATTTTTACCCTGAATGTCAAACAGTTAATAACTACCACATTTCTCACGCCGTTCCTATCTGTAAGAACTATCAATATCGAAAGAAATTATTCTGACGTGCATTCAAAACCAAGTCATAAATCTCATAATTGATATTTGGAAATAAATTGCCTATTAATACACGAACCTTTCATTTTCAGGACTAGCTTGTTCATTGTGGGTTTATATTCACGTTCTCAATCCGAACTCAATCCGATAAATACAGAATACAGAATTCAAAGCTTCTTAGTTCTTTGTCCCTATTTATTTTAATTCTGTAAGAAGATATTTCGAGTTCTTCTAAATAACCTCCAACACCAATTATATTGAAAAGTTTGGCAAGAGGTGTGAAAAACACCAAAGAAGTATCAGAAATCACGTTTACCCTCTGTGTAAATATATATTTTTTAAAAAGTTTACTTTAAACTTGGTTAATTTCCATTTTTCTGTCAGTTTTAAGGGAATCGGGGATCTGTTAGCTACTGTAACTTTATGAATGGATGTAGAAGTATATTTCATTTGCAGAATTTTATGGCGTTTATAAGAATTCATAAAAATAAATTTATGAATCGAACACTTTTATTATTCAATTTGATTGGGATAGAAATATTAAAAGTTTACATTTATAAGTGCACTTGGGGTATTGATGATTGAGGGATATGCATAATTTTCTTGTACAATATTAATCATATCCGACACCTTGTCACCTTCCTAATATCTGACCTAGTTAATTTTTCTCAGCCTCTCGTTACTGAATGCACAAGATAGCTTACAAACTTTGCCATCTTCATGCATGGTTTCATACAATATATTCAATATATAAAAGTGCATCTGTGCTCGTTATAGTTTATCAGCACTCTGGACTTTCCATGATCATTAAAATCTTTTTAATTAAAAGCTTAATCAAGACATAACTGTAAATACATGCAATAATTCATTTAAATTAGGGGTTTTTTTTTTATCATAATGACGTTAGGAATACATTAATCTAAAACTATCAGCCTCTTTTATATAATGGCTATCCATGTATTTCAGAAAAAAACAAAACGAAACAAAAATCGGTATCTCCACACCGCACACAATTAATTTCTTTGAGAACAATAATTTTGTTCGTGATATTTGTAAATTAATTATTTTGAGTGGTATTTTGAGTACAAGCGTATTGGAAAAAAGAACATTAAATTCTTTATATCAGTTTGCCTAACCATGTCGAGGAGCACACAGCGAGTATGGTCACGGTCGACAAGGGATGCTCACTCCTCCATGGCACCTGATCCCACTTCTGATGTTTTAATAGGTCCGTGTTTGCTCTGCTTTTAATTTGTTTTGTTCCAATGAACTTTTGATCTTGATTACTTTTTATTATCTTCATATTTCATGCTATATTTTCTACTTACTTGATAGCTACAACCCATAGCATGCAAAATGGTTGAAAAACATGCGGATTATATTTCTTCATTTACGTTTCTGATTAACCCCAATACCCCAATGAACCCTAAAAATACTGGATCTTTGTATAAAAGGTAAAAAGATTATAAATATTTTTATTAAACTATGATATATACATGTATCTCATTGACGAAAAAATTAAAATATTGAAAAAGAATATTACAATCTATTCCCCATTGTTGAAGCCTTATTCTGAGATCTCTGATTTTCTCTCATGTCTAAAGTGCTTAGAGACGTCGGGAGCTGATATTCTACAGACATATACGATAAACCTCTGTTCATTTTATGGTCACTTTGCAACAAAACTGCAGTAAAATGGTATGTTCTGAGGCTACAGAATGGCTGAGGAAATGACGAGAACAATATAATCCCCATGTTCTTGGAATTTTTATGTTGCATCTTTGTGTACATGTATGCTTCAAGGAAATACTTAAAAATCTTAAGTGTGATTGAAAAAGTTATACTCTGCCGTTATTCCCACACAGGGAGATGTTATAAAGAAACAGCAGTCTTTAAGGTCGATAAAGTATCTTTGTATCTTATTAAGACAAGAATTATGATGTTCTAACTCAATGAGTCTCTTTGCATGAAACATATGAAGATAAGAAACAGTATTCAAGCTCAAAAGTCCATAGGGACTTTACAAATCATGAGCAGAACAAACATGAACCTCTACAACATCAAAGGTGGGATCAGGTGCCATGGATGAGCAAGCATTCCCTGTCCATCTGTAACAACCGCTTGTGCTTCTTGTCAAGATCGGAGAAAACGGGAAAATCCTAAGACAATTCACCGGACCTAACAATAAGTGTGAAAAATTTCATCTGCATTTGACTTAATAAAAGGTTGTATTTGCTAACAAGTTCATTGTATCGACTATAAAACTTGCGCAATGATGAATTTAAAAGAAACTGTTTCTATTAATGTTTCATTAATTCGTTTGTCATTAGCTTGCCTAGAAATTGTTCATACATAGTCATGCTCTTACATATGGAATCATACGAGAGACATTAACCCAGTATGCAAGTGATAGGGGTAAATTTTTACATAAGTAAGGGAAGTTGGCGACTGAAAAGTATGTCATCGCATTTTTCATTAAGTGTTGTTGTTATTACTGTCTTTTTCTAATAAAATATTCAAGTATCACTGGGATGTATCGTGTTGAGGTGTGAATGAAAGTAGCTACCGGGTATTGTTAATTGATAATATCTAAATGTCGAGTTAAAGACCAAAGTAAGTGTTTTCTAGATTTTGTCATATGAATACAAAAATAGGTCCGTTTGATTTTACATCGTTTAAACGTACATCTTCTCTTTGATCAAAAACATTTGTATTAAAAGTGAATCGCAGTGCTGATCAAATAGACAGTGATATATTCGAATGTGATTTTTAAAAATATGAGGAATGATATTCATAAAAAGAAAAGAAACAGAATATTTAAAGAAACTTCAAAACATATAATGATGAACTTTTTGGACTGTGTATGAAAGCGGAAAAGGCATGCCTTAGTTCAGAGTAGGAACATGTGCACTCACAAAACAGAGCGCAAACAAGAAGACCTACCTCTGCAATGTTTACTTTAGTAAATCAAGGAGTAATGTATCTAAGTATTGATTACAGAGGTATATGGTAGATTCAAGGATGAAAACTTTCGTCCTTGCAACCTGAGATTAAACAAAACCTTGAATGATTGATTAAACCATTTGATGTTTTAACCTCAGGGAATTCTGAAATAGTAATGAGTAATTGCTTTTTAATTAGTGTTCTGAATTAGCTCGTACCAGATACGGATTATCTGTTCTAAAGATTAACTGCTGTGATATACCACGACTTTAAAAATCTTTTTTTTTTTCACCTATATGACGAAAATCTTATATTTAGAAATAACAAAGGACTAAAAGACATATAGCACGTTGGATTTTTATTTTAAAGGGAATAACTACAATGACCGAAATGTCCATATATTAATCTGGAAATAAGAAAATTATAAATATGTTTGGATTGTAAAATGAGGGACATTAATAAGGGAATTATCCCTTCTGGTGTTTTCTTTCTGTCGTGTTTAGGTACGTAAAATATTAATTTATAGTTCATTTATCCTTGTTATATCGTAAATTGATCTTAGTATTGATAGAAAATTTTAAATCGTTCTTAATTAAAAAAGACCATGCATAATCACACGCAGACAAATCAATTTGAAAAATACATAATACTTAACTCTTCACTCTTAAAAAAGTTTTACTTAGTAGTCATTTTTTACTTGAAATAACAAAGATAAGTAATAGATAATTACTAAGCATTTACTTAAAATTTCAAATCAATTACTGAAATATATGTCAATTAATAGATTCAAATGTTTTACTTGATTTTTTTATTTTAAAGAAATGTTTTACTTACATACTAAAAAGTTTTACTTAGTAATTTATATTTACTTAAATTTGTGTATATAAGTAATAACATTACTTGGTCTTTACTTACATTTTACCACTATTTACCATATATATTATTAATATTTTAATGCCCCCGTAAACGAAGTTTAGGGGGCACAGTACTGTATATAGTTTTTGTCGTGTCCGTCTGTCTGTCTAGCTGTCTATCTGTTTGTCTGTTTATCCGCAGAAACTTTAACCTTGCCCATAACTTTTGATTTAGCGGAGGTATGACTTTCGTATTTCACATGTGTATTCCTTGTGACAAGACCTTTCTTTGAGTATCACCAAATTTGACCTTGACCTTGAAGTTTGACTCACTTATACACAAAAAATCCAAACTTATTCTTTATCCAAATCTTTTTAACAGTAAATACCAGTTTATATACATTTATACTTCACATATATATTTTTTGTTGAAAGAACTTTTATTGAATACCAACAACTATGAACTTTTGACCTTGACCTTTGAGATTTCCATCCTTGTAAAAAAACTTTAATCTTGGCCATAACTTTTGAACGGTAAGGAATAGTGCTTTCATACTTACAGATATGTAATCATTTTGAGATACTATACCAAGAACTTTGACCCTTTGACCTTGACCTTGGAGTTTGACCCACTTTTAAAAAAAAGCAAACCTTGACTGTAACTTTAAAAGGATTAGGGTTAGTGCATTCATACTTTACATAGTTCATCCTTGTGACAAGACCTTTCTTTGGGTACCACCAAATCTGTCCCTTTGTCCTTGACCTTGGAGTTTGACCTACATTTCAAAATTGATAACCTAGACCATAACTCCTGAAGGGTTGAGGCAAGTGTTTCCGTATTTCACATATGTATTTTTTGTGACAGGACCTTTCATTAGATACCAATAACCTTGACCTTTTGACCTTGGAGATATCAATAATTTAAATTTGCATATAAGAAAAGTTTAACCTTTGCTATGTTGCCATACGGGGGCGTAGGTGTTTCACAAACACATCGATCTTGTTTAAATTGTATTTAATTGATTTACTTAAAACAAAAATTTATTTACTAAATCAAGGAGAATTCAGAGCAGTAATTACTTAAATATGGTAGTCTAATTACTATCGGGATTGAATTTTTGGCTTCCATATTAATTGTCTGTGAGGAGGAGTTATCTTTCTTCTAAATATTCCTTCATGTGAAAAAAAAGTCACACTAATAAAAATTGCGATATTAAGTACTTGAAATGTTTAACCATTTATAAAATGGTCCTTAAAAAGATACAACTTATTCAGATTTTAAGGCTTTCGAAGTTGGAATCAAATGTTTTATTGTAATATATAATAAAACAATTACAAAGAAATTGGCAAAAGAAATTGAAAGTATAATTGTTTCCATCATAAGTAGATTTCTTCTATGAAACTATTCAGAGGGCCCAATTAGGGATCTCTGATAAAGAAATCTGTGAGTAGTACTCACATGTTAGAGGGTCGGTACCTGCAGTGTTTCTAGTAAATAAAGTCGATTTTAGTAAATATGATAAGTTTTTCATTGACTTATTATTCTTTTGAGTAATAATATTCTAGATTTTAATTAATTTCAGAATTACATTTACTTAGTAATAATTCATAAAATTTAGTAAATAGAAAGCATATTATCTCTAAATTAAGTAATAATAATTTAACAAAAATGAGTAGTTCATTTACTAACTTAAAAGTAATATAATTCCTATAGTTTAAGTAATTCTACTGATACTTAGTAAATCATTTTATAACTAAATGAATTCATCCTTATTACTGATTGTGTGTACAATTACTAACCATGATAGTCATTTACTTGCTATTCAGACTAAATGAATTACTACTAATTACTAGTTTTTCTTAATCTAATATCTTATTTTAAAAACAACAAGTAAAACTTTTTTTAGAGTGTTGTCTTATGATTACTTGCAGGAATAATCAACAAATGCCGTGTATTTTCTTGCTTATAAGCTAAGTATCAAATTTGGGCATGGATATTTAGCCGAAATACGAAAAATTAATGAAATTTATTTTCAATTTAGGACAAAATTAAATTTATTTCATTTCTGCAAATGTTACTCATAATAAGCAAAGACAGATTGCCAACAGGAGTTTGAAAGTAATTTGAAAGTCTTAGATTGGCTTTTTTGCAATTAATTATTTGCGATACGTATGCATATAAATAGGGTTTTGAAAAATAAACTTTCTTGTAGTCACAAAGTTTATTTTAAGATAAAAATTCGTGGGAAGACATTTTACAAGCTGAAATGAAATCAAACAAAGGATAGGATCATCTCCTTTTAAAAAAAAAACATGAAAAGACGCCGGACCCATCAACATGATAAATCTTGTTAAATGAAACCTCTTTCGTAATTACGGTGGTAAAAGGAAATTAATTATCAGCGTATCTTTCTTATTAATGGCTCTAAGAGAGTAATTAGGTTTTCCTTTATATAATAGACCGGATTTTTTCCTCTAATAACATGATTTACTGACTATAGATATTGGTGTCCAATTAAAAAATGAGCTGCATGACAAAGGAAATGACGTCATATTTCGCTTCGTTGGCTTATCTTGCTTATGCTGTAATATTTCGCTGCTTATAAGGTTTATATCTCCAAAATTATTCAATACTGAAGAGTATGCCCTGAATAAGATCAATTTTTAAAGCCAGGTTACTAACATACAAGTGAAGGATATGGAGATAACCAACAGTATTCAATATCAAAGTCCATAAAACAATAAAAAAAAAATAGGAGCAGAGCAAACACGGACCTCTGAAACATCAGAGGTGGGATCAGGTGCCATGGAAGAGTGAGCATGCCCTGCCGACCAGTCACATCCGCCGAAACTGTTCATACGTAGAGCATGCTCTTGCGTATCGAATCAACTGTGGTTTATAAACGCCGTATGCAAGTGATGAAGGTATATTACTGCATAAGTAAGGAGAGTTGACGATAGATAAGTTAAAGTCATCACGTTTATCACAGAGCTTGGTTGTTAGATTACCATTCACGTCTTTTTCAAGTAAAATATCCAAGTATGAAACAGATGTGTCAGACTCTGTGGTATCTTTTATCTCAAGCTCACCAGGATATATCGTTTCGACATAGGAATGGAAATTACCATTGTTAATTGATAATACGTCTTCGATATATCTAAATGTTGAGATGAAGGCCACAGCAAGTGTTTTCTTCTTTTCACGCATAAGATTTTGAACAAATTCTGCTTCATATGAATACAAAAGTTGATGAAACAGAGATTTCAACAATATCGTTTACTGTCATTATTTCGCAACATCTACTTGTATGTTTGATATATGACTTTGTCAGCAGATTTAATCTACTATCATGGGGCTGTATTCGTATTGACATATTCCATAATACTTTGTGAATTATTTGTTCTAAGTTTTTATACTAAATTTGACTTGTGAACTATTTATTTTTATACTACGAAATGTTCCTTCGGTCTGATTATGCCATACGTAAGGCTCACGGCGGACGTGAATGCGCGACTGGTAATTCCTAGGCCTCCTTGGCACCCATCTGGTCCCACTTTTTGAACATTTTGTTTTTAATACCCTGTTTACAGATTTGTTATGTTTGTTTGTTGTTATACGTCCCTCTCGAGAATTGTTCACTCATTATGAGACGCTACCATATGCCGGTGGAGAGCTGCTGCAAATTTTGACCTTAACTTCGGCACTTAGGGGCATTGAGCAGTGAGGGATCTTTTTCGTTTCAACTCCTACTGCGACACGGGACCTCTGTTTATACGGTCTCATCCGAAGCTAGGACCGGTCTTCACGTCCTGAAGTGGGATTCGAACCCGCGACGTAAAGATCAACTCCTTACCTCGCGACTCGAAAGCAGATACTCTATCCACTACACCAAACAAGCTGTAATGTTTGTATTTTTGTTTAATCCTTTTTAGTTATTGTCATATATTTTACTAATAGTCATGCTAGATATAGAGTGATGGCCCCAAAACTTTATATCATAAAGCAGGTTTTGCTACAAATCAAGTCTCTAAGGCAGATAGTTCCTTACGTTTAATCAATTCTTTTCCATTCGCCTTCGAAGCTTAGTGGTTAGAACATTTGCTTTAAAGTCGCGGAATAATGAGTTAATACGTACTAAGTATATCGCAGGTTCGAATCCCGCTGGAGATATTGAGACCGGTCCTTCGGATGAGAGTGTATTATAAACTAAGAATAGTACCACAGTAGATGCTGTCACGAGCAAGATTCCTCACTGCACAAAGGCCGTGAGTGCCAATTTGCAATCCTCCACCAAAATGTGGTGGCGGCTTTGTGTGAAAAACTTTCAGAAAGAGTGTTTAACAGACAGACAAATAAATCTCTACTATAATATACTAGTATTAACTTTCTTTCTTATCGGTTTCGTCTGAAGTTTCCATCGAATGTCTTTTAGTTTTTCTTTCTGTGGTCCAGATGCTTTTTGCACAATTTACCACAGAGCATCAAAGTAAATCACGAAAACCTTATAATTATTCGATTCTTTTTGACTCTCAGGCTGTGATTTATTCTTTTTAAACTCAGCTCCGTGGCCAAAGTTTGCAAATTGATAATGTTTTTTATGTAAGAAACGCGCGAAAAATTGTCTTATTGATATTCCTTAGTTACATATCCTGTATCTGCTTAATTGATGTTAAATTAAGGAAGGGGAAGTGATAACTGAAAAATACATAAAGTAAATAAATTTGAAGATCTAGATAAGTCTGTCGTATGAAAAAAAAATATGCTTTGGTTTATAATTATGTTTGATGTTTGAAACGATTTTTGGAATTCTTTTATATAAAGTTATAAACCCTATCGTTTTAGGACGTATGAATTGTTTTCATATAACTAATATTTACATTTTTATTAATGTTATTTTATTCATGCTTATCAATATTATTCATGCTTTAATTATTTCTAACTTTCAGGGATCTCGTTGGGCTTAAAGTGCTGGCATTGTATTTCTAAGGACTGTGATTTAGATCCAAGTGAAAACTATAAGGCTGTAAAGAAGCAGTGCTCTCCCGGGCAATATTGTCAGGTAAACCTAATACTCAAACCAAACAAGTATGGCTCTCGTCACATTATTGAAGATGAAGATCTATAACAATGTACAAATCGTGCTCATTTGCACACGTCACATTATTGCAATGGAAGGTTTATAAAATAAAACGTGTTTATTTTAGTGCATGTCATATTATTGCATGGGAAGATCTAAAATATAATGTAAAGATACGTGCTCACTTCGTTAGAACTATGATAATGTTAAAGCTGAACACGATTCTAAAAGGACGTGGTCCGTCATATTCGATTGGTCACTCGGTATATCTAAAGGTCACCATATAAACCGCTCACTTACGTAGACTGACGTAGACTATATACAGCACTCAGCAGCGACAAAAAACTCTATAATATACCAAAGAAACAGTAGCAAAGACAAGTGCAGCATACAAACAAACACACAAAACTGCAAAACTGCAATTGAATGTAAACAGAGGTAATGTAGGATAAACAGCAAGAACATGGATCGCCATTCCTCGCCGATATCTGCGACAATAGAGCAGTCAGGTGTAATGAATGTGAAGAGGGTATCCAGATGCTGATGTCGTAGATAGTATTATCGAAAATGGCGTGTGCCTATTTATGAGTCATGTTCAGCTTTAAGAAACGAGTTGATTTGACCACACGTCACGTCATTATTGTAGTGGAAGGTCTATAGCAATGTAAATATATTGTGCTCACTTGACATGTCACATAATTGCAATGGACGGTCTATAGTAATGTAAAATAGACGTGCTCACTTGCATAAGTTGCATTATTTGCAGGTCAGAATATTTTACAATAATTAAAAAAAGGTTCTCATTTCCACAAGTCACATTATTCGAACTTAGTTCTACATGTATAATATATAATTTATAATGACTTCAGCACACGTCACATTATTGCAAAGTCAGTTCTATAATAATGTTGAAAACATGTTTATTCAGACAGGATTTTCAGGTTCGAGCTATAATCACTTCACGGGGTGCTTAAATACCTTTAAAATGAATATCTTTATGGACTTATCGCATATTTCTAAATCGTTTGAAATTAAAAGCGTGATAAGTTCCTTATGACCACCTTTTATAATATTTGTTCTTTTACTGCGGATATACCGCAGTAATTAGCTAATAAATGATTGAAATGAAAACCCTTGAATTAAAATTCATACATATAGAAAGTAAATGCAATCGAGCAGTATTGCAAATTGCTTTTGAAAGAATTTTATCATTAATATAATTTTAATCCTGGTTCATTTCAGAAAGTATACTACTCTATGTACAGTACGATGGATAACAGAATCTATGATTCCACAGTGAGAGGCTGTGCTTGGAACTGTCTTCCTAAAAATGACTTTGAGAACTGTTCTACCGAACTTCACGGATCACGTGGTTGTGTGACAAAGAACTGCTGTCGAGATAGTGACCTATGTAACACAGGATCACGTGTAGTGACGCCATCAAATATTTTATATTTAATTATTACAGTCTTATTAATGTGTTATTTGACTTGAAATATTTTAATTATACTATGAAGCTTTTTAAATTGTTGTCATTACGTAATTTCATTTAACTTTATACAATTCGCTGACTTTAATTTGATGAATCTTTTGTAATAACACAGACCTTGTCAAGTACTGTTAACAGAGGCAGAAGGTCAAGAACAATCAAAATTGATCAAGCCTTGGGGCCATAAAACTTAGACGAGCTCCCTTATGATCTTATTTTCACTTTTCCACCATATATTCCTTTGGTAAAAGTGAGACTGAGATCAAAAGTGAGCTCATTTAAGTTTTATGGCCCCCCAGGCCAAGTATGTATAGACTAATATTAAGACCAATTCTCTGTGATTATAAAAAAAAAAGGTTGGCCACGCATAATAGCAGATTTGGATTTTTATATCATAATATAATACAGGTGTGTGAGTGGTTGTAAAATCTAAAGATAGTTTTTTTTATATTAGTTGTAACCTTGGTTGCCATGGAATCGGGATACCCAATTCAAAGTCAATATTTTTTTTTTCATGATGAACTATATGGATATAACGAAGGGTAATCAAGCTTAAAAGTTCATAAAACAATTCCAAATTGGAGGACTGCAAACACGGACCTCCATAACATCAGAGGTGGGATCACGTGCCATGGAGTGAGCATCCCCTGATCATACCCGTCATGTGCTCCTTGTCATGATCGAGGAATAACGGGAAAATCCGACAATGTATTATAATGGCCTAGCAATTAGTATGAAAAACGTCAGTCAGCATTTGACTCAATGATAAATTGTATTTGCTGACAATGTTTTTGCATCGACCATGAACTACCGAAATGATGACTTTAAACGAGACTGCTGATACAACTGTATTCTTATTTCAGCACCTTGTTTCTAAATTATTTACCTCGTTATAGAAATTGTTCATACGTAGAGCATGCTCTTGCGTATTGAATCAACTAAGAGATATAAACCTTGTATGCATGTGATGAAGTTAAATTGCTGCGTAAATAAGGGAAGTTGACGGTTGAAAAGTTAAAGTCATCACATCATAAAGCGTGGTTGTTAGATAACCATTTTTTTTAGTAAAAGATCCAAATATGAAAGTGGAGTGTCAGACTCTGTTGTATCTTTTATTTCAAGCTCACAGAAATATATCGTATCGGCATGAGGATGAAAGTAACCATTGTTAATTGACAATACGTCGTCGACATATCTAAATGTCGAATTGAAGGCAACAGCAAGCGTTTTCTTCTTTTCATGTATAAGATTTTGGACAAAATCCGCGTCATATGAATACAAATATAGGAATGCTAAAATCGGGGTTTGTACCTATTGGAATCCCAGTTGATTGTTGGAATATCTGATCTCCAAAAACCACATAGATATTGTCAATTAAAAACTCAAGCATTTTTTTAATATCAACTTCAGAGTATTTTTGTGTATAATCAGAACATGCAGAATGTTTTAAATAATTTTGCAAATGAACAATGACAAGGTCATTTATTTAGAAGTTCCATTTTTATTGAAAAAGCAGCTGTCAATGATATCAGAAAGCCTAGCTGGACTTTAATTTATCGTGGGGAATGATTGTGTGGAAAGTTGAAAAGTCGTAAGTTTTTTAAGCTGTTGATTTTAATTAAATATTGTGATTTCAAATTTCCAAAAGTTCCTTGAATTTTGATATTGTCTCTCATATTGAAAGGCAGAGATTTTAAGCACCGCCTTCAAAAATACCTGGTCTGGGTAGCCCTGTCAATTAAGTGCGTAAGGTCCATCATTGGATGCTGGAACTTGATTGACAGTTACTTACTGGTCCCTGTGTATACTCTGTAAACCTTGATTTGGACTCGTGGTGACCTTCTAATTAACTTTTGACCCTTTGATGTTTACTGAACATGGTACACAGAAACTGTATTACTATGAAAGTTAGATTGATAATATAATTATGTATTAAATATACCTTTAGTCTTTGAAAGGATTATAATATAATGTGCATTAAAAAAACTAACCTTTATTACAAAAAACTTTTTTTCCCGAATCAAAAGAAATTTTGAATTTTAATTTTGATATGCTAAACGGTAAACCCAAAGTGGAAATGTTATTTGTAAAGTTCAGAGCAGCATGAAAAGTGATAAAATTTAAATTAATTTTTCTAATCATGGGTCACATATTTCCTTTTTTTTATTCACTTATTAGATGGGATCCTGGGGATGAATGAATTAGATGTAATTTAGTTGTTACAAAGTTGTTTTTTGATTAACACATATACACTAATATCTAGAAAAATCTTTGTTTTAATATTGAATTTATAGTATGATATCATAATAATTTTTTAAATGGGTAGGGTTATAACTGAAAAACTTTTTTACTACTATATAATTCTAAAATTGTCTCAAAATTCCCAACCCAGGTAAAGTTTGAGTATTTCACTGTGTATTAAATCACTTCCTGTGTATAGGGTTTAGGAGACAGATGACCACAGGTAGACTGCTAGCCCCCAAGGCATTCACACCTGTGCAAAATAAGCCCCTCCCTCACCTGGAATTTACCACCCGGTAAGAAAACTCTGCCTTTAAATACTAATAATATGAAAATATATATCACCCCTACTAATGTTATTGTGATTTAAATTCAAGACACGTGGTTAAGGTTGACCCATTCAAAGGATATAGGATGAAACAGGTTTTTATAAATAAGATTGGTAGTAAATAGGAAATTGGTATAGTCTGTTTCTTTTGAAAAGATGTCCTGTGAAAAATGTGTTTCCAGACCTTTCTGAAAGACTTCCATGATTTTCAACAGAAAATGGTGGCTAAAGGGGGGAAGGTTAAAACAACAATATATCTTATCATAATTTACGGCTAAAATTAGAGCACACTGAGATACGCTGGTAAAAATGTGTAATATCATGTACACTTACAAACCTTTGTTTGCCTTATATGGCTATTGTTATTAATGCGCACAGAGGTTCTTACCATGAGCAACTGACCAATCGTTGAATAGCAACGTTTATGCCAAATACATGTTTACATTTTACTTCGAACACGTGGTTCAGGTCAATCTATGATCACGTCAATGGAGTGCAGAATCAAAAAAAAAATACAAAGATTAGAAAGTATGAAAGATTTCACGGGCGTTTTTTAATCTTTTGTTAATAAGACAAAAATATGTTAAATAAAATGTAAAATGTGTCAAGTTCAGAACACCAGCGCTTCAACAACGGTAGGGAAAACGAGCAGCATCTCATGCATTTAAATGGACGAAACAGCTTTTACATTTATATACTCCTGATCACGTGTTTTGGCTAGGGAATCCACCTGACAATTCTATTCACCGATAGTTCAACAAAAGAATTAATAGAGACGCAAATCGCTTTCAATTGGAACATGACTTTGATCGAGAAACCTAGACTTCCATCGTTTATTCAACAAATGAATTGTGTGTCATTGTGAGCATGAAAATAATACAATTTAAAAAAGATTCTTTTCATTTACGAAATGGATGGGAAAATGGTCTTTGTGCCTTTCCGATCGCCATAAGATTTTCCTTTTCTTTCAAGCGTAAAATTCCTGTAGTATTCGTAGTAACCCATAATGCAATTCTCATTCAACTGATTGGTCAGTTAAAGTCAGGTTGGTGCCTCATTTGCTAATCTGACGCCAAAATATATAGTCCCGGTTCCCATGCTAGAATATTTGTCCTAAAAGAAGTTTCACTTCATGACTGCAGAAATTGTATCATAGAGAATACTTATTTTGGTTTGAATGAATTCAAGAGAGATAGATTGAAGTACATTTCTACAGATATTATAGGGTGGTGAAAACTGAAACGCAACATAACTTTTCTGTTTACCAAGTCTCCACGTGCAAGTCACTTCCTAGACACATTTCCGTGAATAATTTACCCTATCTCGCTGTAGTCTCGCTTTCTCTCGCCAGAGCCACCGCCAGAGCTACTCTGAACTCATCGGGTTTTATAATGTGCAGAATACCGAAAAATTAAAGGTTCCGAACACATTAGTAGGGGTGTATATATTTAGTTCGTGCCACCAATTCAACTTCAAAATAATTCAAATTGTACATACATCATCGCTTTTATTACATTGCATAGCTTATCAAAGATGATGCGGTCCTTGGAAACAATTTTGGACATATTGTTGGAATTCTAGCGGACACCAATTCTGATTCTTTATTAGCGAACTGTTAATTATATTTCTATGATGCAGATCAAATTCAAACACTCAAGGAAATTCATTTCCATTCGATATTCAGAGACACGGCGGTGTGTTATCAATTATTTTCATTCACTTATATGTTGACTCGATATATCTGGTGAACTTGAAATAAGACACCACAGTCTGTCACATTTTTTTCATATTTGGATGATTTCTGACTATAGACAATAAAGGCCAATTAACAACTTAATTGTATGATTAAAGATATGAATTCAGCTATTTTATTTATGTTGTAAAATTCCGATATCATCTGTCAATGACATTTATACCTCCCAACTTATTTGCTACTCAAAAGCTTTCTACAAGTACGATCAATAATTAAAGCTATACATGCTACTCACTGATAAGTTAATGTTACAAAGATTTTTAAAAAAATGTTTAAAGCCGGCATTTCGAAAATCCTACGATTGATATAATGACAATTAACAAATAAAAAAAATTGGGTCGTATTTTGGCCGAATTGTTTTATATTAATTCTAGGATTTTGTTTTTATACTGACGTTCCGTCTACTAGATCAATACATAGGGTTCACGGAAGATGTACCTGGTCAACAGGGGATACTCACTCCGGAATTTCCAACTGTCGATGTTTCATGTCCTCTTTACATATTTGTATTGTTTATACCCGGGTAGATTAAGATCGATCAGGTTCTGCTCTGTTGAATTTATTAATATAGACAAAAAAATCTTTAAAAAAAGAAAAGCTTGAAGAAATTGTTTTAATGGACAAAAATGTATTCTCTACCAGGCATCTTTCTTCAAAGTCTTTTTGGGTGGCGTTTTCTTTGAAGGGTTTGTTTTTGCTTTAGTTTGTTCGATGG